AACACCATGAGATCATTGGCAGCAAACTCTTTGTCCAACATACATGCACGTACCTGCTGCTTTGCTCTCGATCTACAACATCTGTAAAACTGTTTGCACGCTTGGGAAGAACTGCTGATGTTTGCTTAAACACTGTCCTCTCCCTGGGTACACGGGATTTCCTTCAAGCTGGTGTCACTTTCGAAGTTCAACTTTTAAGCTGTAAAAGGCTTCTGAACTAAACTACTACCCCAAGACGCCAATGTTTTTGTTTCAGGGACTTTTAAGATTTTACTGGAGCATCTCTAAAACAATTCTTGAATATTGGGTAGAAGACATGACTTCAATATTCCATGGGAAAACAACTCAACTCTCAGTTCTCGGGCAAAAAATTTTGCAACGATATTTTTCATGCCAGTTTCTACCAAGAGGAATAGACCAGCCCTGCAGTCTGAACAGCACTGCCAGGGAATAAACTCAGAACCTCTCTGCTACACCCACCACAGAATATACCTATTAACAAATAAAGATTACTACTGCCAGGAGGCAGAACTTTAGGATAAGACACAAATTCCAGCTCTACTGCAGCCTTTCAGGTGGCCATAAAGCACAGCACAGCAGTCACTGGGCAGCACCTTAAAGCGCAGATCCTCCCTCCATCCGCGCCAGCGCCGCGCTGCTCCGCTCGCAGCAATTTGGGTTCTTTGATTCTGCTGCACACTTGACCTGGCTAAACCTTCCTCCAGCTGAGCGAGCTGCATGTTGTGGCAGCGCTGGGTTGGGAGGCATTGTGAAATAAAGTGGGAGGCCTCATGTGCTCATTTGTGTGTCAGTACCCAGAATGCTGCTTCTGGCTTCCAGCTACTTCATAGAAGTGCTGCTGGGACTTGAACCGTGGGAACACGGCAGCGCTGGGTGTGTGGGTGTGCTCACACGCGTGCAAGGACAGCTCTGCCTCTGCTGGGCCCTGCTCACAGCCAGTCCTGCCCAGGGTACACGTCTGGCACACAGGTGGGGAATCTCAAAGCGCTGTCAAACGTTGCTCGGTTCAGTGTTGGAGAAAAAGGGTTGGAAATAGACACAGTTGAACCCACCCTCCGCTGCTGGAAATAGCAACCAACAAAGCCTTCAGGGCTGCGTCTGAACTAATTCTGTGTGAGTGGAGCATCCTGATGTGAGGCAAGCAGGGAGCTGTCTGTCACACGGGAGTGGAGAGCAGTGCCACAGACACAGCGGGGACACATCGGTCCCACGGGACAGCACGCACCAGGCACCGCGAGCTGAGCCCAAGGAAAGGCTTTGGCACTGATGGTGGATTTCTAGGACCCTGTTCTGCAACCCTGCCAGGTTTTCCACATTTTTAATTTCTAGAAATACCCCAGAATGTAATGGCTGTGCTCCACACCAGTAATGGTGGATGAGATGAGACAGGTAAGGAAACAGGACACCCACACAGGTAAAAGCCGTGTTGGTGCAGAGAGAAAGCAAAGCACAACAAACCCTGCATGGGAAGGTGGAACCCAGTGAAGGACACAAAACAAGTAAAATGGAGAAGTTATACAGCTCAAGAAAAGAAAGAGCTTTGGGAAATGGCAGCAAGGTGAAAGACCTTATGGTAGGTCAGTTACTCATCCAAGCATAAACAAGGAGGATATAAAACCCCAAAATTTTAGAAGAGGGTAAAGAATGCGACTTAAGCCTTTATGGTCCCTACTCCAATTGTCACAACTCCCTCCAGCTTTTGGTTAAGACCCTTTGCTGACTTCACACAGGTCTGGACAAAGAGTTCTTCTGCAAGTGGAAAGACCAGGCGAGTCTTGTTCAACCAACACGGCTGACAGAGAGATCTCTGCATCTACACATCCATCTCCTGGTACAGAAGGATGGATATGCACTATAGATATTTGATGTAGAGAGAAATATGCGCTGGGAATGAAATATCTAGGAAAAGCTACGCCTGGTTGCAAAGCTTTAAAACCACGCCAAGGAAAAAAACGGAAAAGGGAAAAAAAAGAGAGGAAAAAAAGGCAGTTCTGCCACTACGCTGAATCTGCACCAGGGGCTTGTGCCAACCCAGCTCCTCCATTTAAGTCAGACCCTTAAAAGGCAGAGCTGTGCTGGCAGAACCTCCAGACCTCATCACAGAAACCTCATGGAGACACATGAAAAGGTCAAAACACTCACTGCTGCTTAAAGAGCCATAAAATTGGTCATATGTATCCCATGCTACCAACATACTACCAGAGCCCCAGGGAGAACACACCACACAAAGCAATGTGTCTACACACACAGAGAAATAAATAAATTGAGAGACTGTAAAAAAAAGGCCACTCCTGAAAGCAGAAAACCCAATATCTGACACAGCAGCTTACGACACATCACGCACACAAACACCTCTGCATGAAACAGAACAAAGCAAAGCTGAGATCTACATCAAAAAGGAAGCCCACCACAAAGACACATGTGCTTCACCCTTTCATCCCCAAGACAGCCAGAGCCCCACAGACACACAAAACCCACACAGGATTTAACACACACAGAATGGGACCATCCTGTCATTTCCTCAGTAGGCTCTAACTTTACTCCAACATTACTTGCCCCTGGCCACAGCCTACCAATCTTAGAGTCTGATTAAATCTCTCCGTAATTATCCGCACACACTGCTACAACACAAATGACCTTAGCATATGATATCCGTTGGCTAAGCCCAATGGAAAAAGACTTCAGGAAAAGGAAGGATAAGTGTACAAAACTCTGCCAGCACCGTCAGGGTCTCCTCAGGACTGCACTGTTTGAATAGAAGAGTCCTGAAGGCCTTGAAACTTAATATGAGATAAAACATTCTGTTTTCCCTACCCCATCGTCTGAGCACACACCACTCTCTATTCTTTCCCACCTCATTCCTTGCCACCTTCCAGATGAATTTACGCAGGAGACTTAGAATTTCATCATGATCAATTTCTGGCGAAATTTTCCAAAAAATAGATGGCCACCATTTTTCCTCGCACAATTTTTGGCATTCACTATTAGATATCTTCAATTCACTCTGCAAGAAGTGCTGCACTCCAGGCAGATTTTGGAGGGTGAGGTAAGAGTGTTTCTCGTGTTCTGAACTAGGACCTATGAAACGGTCCCCAAAAAACCTGAGGTTTAGTAACCTTTTCTTGTTCTCCTTCTGCAGCCTCGCCTGGGGTGTTGGATAAATGATGCGGTTGAAGAGAACACTGAAAAAGCTTTGCAAGAAAAGGAAAGCACTTCTCTACTAACACTCATTTTAATTAGACTCTGGAAATGACTGAGCCAGGGGAACAAGACCTTTCTACAACAAAAATGTGGAGATTTCTTCATTTTACTTCCCAAACGAAGCATGCCCTAGAAAATTCCTTTCCCAGCATGAAAAAATGTCTCCAGTTTGAGAGCCATATTCTCCTCTCACATGCATGTAGATCTATCCCACCATTCCATCTCGGCACATGACTGACGGAGAATAGACAAGCCATTAAAAACACATCCACCTCCAACCACGGGGATAATGTGCCTCATTACAGCCCAGCTTTGTCACAGCGTCCTGACACTCCGGGGAGGAAAAGGAGGGGTGAGGACAAGGACTGAGCCGGGGGCCAGGAGAGAAACTGGAACTGCAAGAGACTCAGCTCCTTAATCCAGAAGTGTGCAGCCCGGTCAGATGGGCTCACTGGGCCTCTTAGTCTGGTTGTGGAATTACTGTACTGTTGGCACAGCATTTTTTTTTTTTTTTAAATCTGGGTTTTGCCTGGGTATTTTTGTTGCATTTTTTTATAAAAAAAAGCTCTACCTTAATCAGTGTGTGTCTTCCCCTTTAAACAGGTATTTGGTAAGTTAATTCAGACTTTTCACAGTAGGCTTTAAACATCGCTTCTCATTTCCAGGCTTGTGTATTGCCCCTGCGCTCCAGACACAAAACTCCAAAGTCTGGGAATCTCTGACAGTGAGGCAGAGCCCAACCAACAAACCTGCAGGGCAGAACCGGGGAGGCAGGAGTTTGCTTTCCCCTCGCACCGGGGGGAAGGAGCAGGAAGCAGAATTGCTCATCCCCAGCCAGTTGCACCATCCCAGGAGCCAGACAGACAAACAGACAGACAGACAAACAGACATCCCGGTGTCTGCGAGTCCCCAAGGCCTTGTGGCACTGCTGCCCATGGAGCAGGACCGGTGCCAGATGCCAAGGCAGCCTCCCACCCACACATCAGGGATTCTGGGATCTAAAGGCAGCTCAGACTGAAAGAAAAACAAGTGGCACCTAAAAAAAATGTGCTTTAGCTGTCTGGCTCAGCACAGCACGGCATGGAATACCTTAAGGAGCTGTTGCAGCTGGCCCTAGACAGAGTCATTTGCTGGATGTATACATAATCCAATATACAAAAGCCTGTCTGCTGGGGAAATTTAGGCTCCACAGGGATACTCTAAAAGCAGGGACTTCTCCATTCACATTCCAAACACTTCATCTGTAAACCAGTAACCTGCACTACCGGCATAATTTTTTTCTTAACAGGCACATTTTTTTTCCATACAAGCATTTAGAGCATTCATCCCACACCTCCATCCCCGGTGACACTCAGTCGACCAGAAAAGTGCATGGACTTGTGTCTGGAGCCATCAGTACCTGCTCCTTTTTTCTGGCTTCTTCCTTGCCTTGACCCCTGAGTGAAGAAGCCCTCGAGGACCCGAAATCACGCACTGCCAGATAAAGTCTGGGGCAGTGTGATGGGCTTCAAAGATCAAGGTCCACACATAGTAAAATATACAAATACGCGTACGTAATTTAAACAAACTCCAACCACCGTGGTCAAAACACAACCAGAGAAATAAAGGTGCCATCTCGAGCACTGCTTCTCCACAGTGACACACACGCGGGGAGAATGGAGAACACGCTTAAAATTGCTGAATGACTCCGAGGAAAAGCAGCCGGTAACAATTTGGGTATATCGATGAACGTTACCGAAATCCCCCCCGCCCCCTTTAAAATTACAGGCACCACTTACCCGGGGGGCTTTCCTCTTGTATTTGTTGTTATAGTCAAATTTTTCTTTCATTTCATCTAAGAGCTGGCCCAGTCTAGCTTTCTCCTCTTTCCCAGCATAATCCTGGCTGAGGAGGATATAGGATCTCCAGTTTGCAGAGTCAAAGCCCCAGTGGCAAGTCCTGTTTTCCAGCGATTTGTGAGAGTGGACCACAAATTTGTGAGGTGGGTACATGAGCCTGCAGTCCAAGCACTGGATGCAGGCTGCGCTGGGATTACTGTAAAGCTCTGGCACCAGGAGTCCCTTACACTTCCCAAAGCACTCATGATACACCTTGAAGCTCTTCTCCGTGAGCTCCAGCTCAATTGTGCTAGAGAATTCCTTCTTGCAGTGGGGAGGATATGTGCCACCATAAAGCAAGGCGTTACAAAGCCTCTCAGCATCAGTTTTCGTGATGAGCCCGCAGGAAGGAGCGGAGAAGGGCAGGATGCCCATGACTTTGAGGATTTCCAGCTGGTCAGCAGTGCATCTGGAGCAGTAAATATGTAGCTCATCACACACCGAATTAATCTGCTGCAGGGAGAAGTCCCTGAGCACCGAGTTCAGGATCTGGGGCAAGCAAAGCCGCTTCTCTCCGCCCACCACGAAGCAGGAGATGGTTTCCCCTTCCAGGATGGTCTCGCACCTCTCCGTGGATCTGTCCGAGGGCATGAAGAAGGGACCAGGCATGACCGGAGGAGGCTGGATCGGGGGCAGATGCAGTACAGGTTCCGCTGGGTCTTTGCCATTGTCTTTCTTGTACATCTCCTGTGCCCATCGTGCCGAGAAAGCAGCAGGGCCACCCAGGGAGCTCATAGAGCTCAGATGAAACTGTTCCAAGGTCTTCTGCAGTCCTGGATGAGGCTGGAAGCTGCTTCTACTTACAGTCTCCATTTTTTAGTTTCTATTCCCAAAACAAACAGCAAAAATCCCCAGTTATCTTCCACCCTGATGCAAATCCACTTAAGGGATTTTTTTTTAAGGAAAAAATATGAACAAAATAAAACAACCCACCCTTGTGTTTTTTCCTCCTTCTCACTCAGCAATCCACTAACGGAGAGGAAATAAATCCTTTTGTATGCGTGTCTCTCTCTTCTTTCTTTTCTCTTGGTTCGCGTTACAATTTCAAACCCTCCAAGTCTCCAAGCTGCCCCGATGGAGCAGAGAATCACGGCAAAAAGAGGTCTTCATCCGAGCACTCACCCCCTCAGCCAACCCCCAGGCAAACCAATCCCTCCTCCCACACCTCCAACACACACTCACTCACACACACACACACACACACACACACACACACACCACCCACAGAAACACAAAAAGTCTGTGCCACGCTCCGAGCACCCGGGGCTCAAATATGTTCTGGCGGCTGCTGCTTCTCTGCAGTGATCCCCCTTCTGTCCATATCCACCGAGGGAAGGCGCGGGGGAGGAAAGTAAAAAGCAGGAGGAGGCAGAACGCTCGGTCTGTGGAAGGAACAACGCAGGAGAAAAGGCCCAAATCTCCGGCACTGCCAAAGCGGCGCGGGGGCTCCGCACGGGCGAAGAGCGGCTCCGCTGCCCCTCGTGGTCCCTCTGCTCGGCCTGGGAGGGCTCCTCGGCTCTCGGCTCGCCTTTCTTCTCTTACTTCTGCCGGTGCTCTCGTTGTGCCGTGGGGAGCCGCGGTGAGAGCGCGCACATCCTCCCAGCTCCTCTTTCCAGCAGTGACTGAGAGTGCCTGAGAGCTGAGCTAATGCAGGCGGGCTCAGCCTCCCGCCCTCCGCCTCCCCCCCTCTGTTTGTTGGTGTCTGCCTCAGTCATTGAATCCCGGCCAAGAATGTGACCAACTCCCCGGGCCGGGCTCTTCCAGGAACAGCGCCCGCCTCCCCCTTCGCGCTGCGCCCAGACCGGCCGGGATGTGCTGGGATCAGCCGAGCCGAGCCCGGCCGAGCCGAGCCCCGCCGAGCCGAGCCGAGCCGCTGCACGGGCGGGCCGGGCCAGTCCAACCGAGCCGAGCGCAACCGAGCTGATCTAAGCCCGGCCGCGCCGAGCCGAACCGAGCTGGGATGAGCCGAGTCCAGCCGAGCCGAACCGAACCGAGCTGTGCTGAGTGGTTCCGACCCGAAACGAACCGAGCTGTGTTGAGTGGTGCCGAGCCAAACCGAGCCGTGCCGAGCCGAGCCGAACCGTGCCGAGCTCAGCCGAACCGAACCGAGCCGAGCCTCTGCACGGGCGGGCGCGCGGCGCGGCCCCGGCGGCAGCGGCGGCGAGGGAGGGAGGGAGCGGGGGGGAGGATAAACTGCTGGGTTCACGGACCGCCGCGCCGCCAAGGAGGGGCGGTAGGGCGAGGGCTTTTTCCCTCTCGCCGCTGGATTTCTGGCAGCGGTGCAATGGAACAGGCGCGGGAAGCGGCGCTGGCCGCTCTCGCCCGGGCACGGAGCGTGTGTGAGCACTCACGGAGCCTTGCCCGGCGTCAACTGCGGGCACACACCCCGCGCCGACAGCAATCACAGGCGTGAGAGCGCGACTGATGGGCGACAGCCGCGCGGGACGAGAGCGCATCCTCGGGGCGCCGCGGGGCACCGGAGCCCCGAACCCACTGAGCGCTACCGGCGAGCGACACACGTGTGCCTCCCTGTCCCGACACACGTGTGCTCCCTTCTCCCGGTACACGTCACACGCTCCTTCCACCCACGGGCGACGCTCAACGCGTGGAAGGAGCGAGAGGCGCAACCGCAGCGCGGGTGGGCAGGGGCTGGGGGCTGTCCGAGCCCCGCTGGAGAAGGAAGGCAGAGGCAGCACTAAGGGCACGCTGGTGGCACACAGGCTGGTGGCACACAGGCTGGTGGTACACAGGCGGGTCGGCTCCTGAGCTCCCACCCGCGGGGCCGGGGCTGTCCGGAGTGTCCGAGACTGTCCAGACTGTCCGGAGTGTCCGGAGTGTCCCAGACTGTCCGGCGTGTCCGGGGGCACCGAGCGCCCCCGCACGCCGGGGACGGGCGCCCTCTACCGACCGATGAGAGATCACCGCGACCGGCCCGCACAACTGGGGCACGGACACCACTGACCACTGACCACTGACCGGGACACGGACACCACTGACCACTGACCGGGACACGGACACCACTGACCACTGACCACTGACCGGGACACGGACACCACTGACCGGGGCACGGACACCACTGACCACTGACCACTGACCGGGACACGGACACCACTGACCGGGGCACGGACACCACTGACCGGGACACGGACACCACTGACCACTGACCGGGGCATGGACACCACTGACCACTGACGGGGACACGGACACCACTGACCATGGCACAGACACCACTGACCACTGCCCAGGGCACAGACATGCACTGACCATGGCACAGACACCTACTGCTTGGGGCACTGACATATCCACTGTCCCTAGCACGGCCGCACACTGGCCATAGCATGGACATACACTGCCCATGGCACGGACAGTCATTGACCATGGCATGGACACCACTCACCACTGACCATGGCACGGACACCAACTGACCACAGCATGGGCACCCACTGACCATGACACAGGCTCCTGGTCCCTATAACATGGATATTCACTGCCCATGGCATGGACACACACTAATCATGGCACAGACACCCACTGCCCAAGGCATGGACACCAACTGACCACAGCACAGACACCCACTGCCCAAGGCATGGACATGCACTGCCCAGCAGCGCTGCCAACTCCATTATGGATTTATTATTCAGGTCAGGAGTGAGATGCTCTTACTTTCCATTATTATTAAATTTCAAAGAAAAAAACCTGTGTCTTCTCCCATTTTTTTGCTTCTGGACTGCACGCCCAGAATTCTAACAAACATTTCAACCACCACTTAGCATCACCATAAGGAACAAGCTGAAAAGGTTTCCACTGTTATCTCAGAGCTCTGTCAATTGTGTGCCAAAAAGGGCTGGGGAGCACTTTCACACCAGCATAATTGTTAATAGTGTTTGTAATGCAACAAGGACTTTAAGCACTGCTCATCCATAGAGTGTGACTGAGGGACACAGACACTGAATTTTGGATAGTCTCATCTGGAAATGTTCATGGCAGTGGAACAGCAGAAAAAACACATCAGGACAAAAGAGGAGGAGCAAACAGACAAATATCCAAACAGTGCTTAAAAGAGCAATTGGAAAACAAGCACGCTGTGATTTACTCAGACTCGTTGTAATGGGGCAGGGCACACACCAAACTCTTGTGTTTTACTTGCACTTTTATATTCTGAAATCCCATTCGGAATAAAGGGAAAAGGTGTAAGAGTTGTATAAGAGCTTTGACCTTGCCCCTAAGGCAGCATTTCCCCTGAGAGGAACCCACTCTCACATACCCAACTTAGACATCAACCCCCAAAGTGCCAAATGGCTTCAGAAGAGACAGGACCCAAACACATTGGGCCAGGTCAGCTGCTGTGTCTTCATGTGCTCAGAGAAGACATTTGGAGGATCTTCACCAAATTGCTTTAATACAAAGCCACTGGTAGCAAGAAGGACCCTGGAAGTTTCTGTTCATACAATCCATCACACGTGGATTTGGTGATCCATGAGTGAGATTTTTAGATATTATCACAATACCAAAGTCTAAAGATGGTATTTAACAATTTAGGCCATACAGTCCTTGTTGATTCCTGATGCTAAAGAAGTAAGCACATTAAGAGAAAACAGGGCTAGGAATATTCCACACTGGGTAACAGGATACTCTAAAAGGTTTTGGTTAAGAATAATTTTTAATTATATTATTCAGAAGGTCCATGTGGTACCTTTCAATAATATGAGGGACATCCATCCACTCCACCATTTCCAAACTGAAGGGTGTGCTTTGGTAGAACGAAAACCCCTCCCATCATTCAGCCTCCTCTTAGGGAAGCTCTGACTGTGACTGTGACAAGGGAGAAGCACCAGACACACAGTGAATTCCCCCAGGGCTGTGGCAGTTGACCAGACTGTCATCAGAGACGCTCGGATACAATGGGGACCAGCAGCAGGATCACTCCCTAGATGGATTTAGTGCAGTTTCAGGCTTTTTTTTTTTAATCCACTAAAATATAAATGGCCAGATATACTCAAACATCACATATGGAGTTCCTGATTGTTTTAAAGAACCAAATAAATGCCTGCAGGAAGTTCGGATAGCAATGGAAAAGCTTCTCAGCTCTGGAAGCTGGGGTTTGGGGTTTTTTTTTCACTCACTCTCCTTCATCTTTGAGAAAGAAAGGACAGCAAGCAGTAGTTGCAGTTCATTTTAAGAGAGGTGCCATTTTCTCTTCCAAATGACTTTTTAATGCAAGTAAATCACTGGATGGTGCAACAGATTGTTTATGGGTGGAATTCGTAAATGGAATTCCTGAAGCAGAGGGGACTACCAAAGAGACAGGAAGGATGGTCTTGTGGTTAAGACAGAAAACTCAGGACATCTGGGGTCTATTCCCAGATCTCCCACAGATTTCCTGTTGCCTTGGGCAAGTTGCTCAGTCTCTCTGTGCCTCAGTTTCTGTATCTGCAATACTCAGACAGTGAGCAATTGGAGTGGCAGATTCCAAACTGAAAGCCATGACGGGACAGCTTCAACTCCTGCAGCAAGAACACAGCAAAACTTGCACGTCTTTCCATCCCACAGACTGTGCAGAACTAACCAGCAGCAGGGCAGGAGAAGGGGGACTGAAGGAGCTGTCATGTGGCATTAAGGTGACAGTGGCTTCTCAAGTGAGCGCCGCATCTAAAAATCAGATTAATCTGTCCCCCAGTCACTGCTTGTCTTGCTCCAGTTCCAAAGCCCTGGAGTTGGAGAAAGGAGAGGGGAAAAATATCTCCGAGGAAGGGCCCTAACACCACAGTGTTTTTCTCACTCTCTCCCTCTTCTCCTCCCCCTCTCCATTGGCTTCAAGGCCAACAGCTCCTGGAACACAAACACTCTTGTAAACTTCTGAACCACACAGCCCTATGGTGGGTGGGTGTTTGCTCCCTGCCTGCCAGTTCCAATCCACCCACAGATTCCAAAGGCCCAGAACAAAAAGCAGACTCCATTTTCCATATTTAACAGGCAGTTCTGCTCCCTCCCCATCGCCTTCACTCGGTGCCTCTCCCCAGCACCGGGTCCCACCTTCTGCACGTCCCCCGGGCTGGGGGGATGTTTGTGCCTGTGTTTGTACACACACAGCAGAAGTGCCTTCCCAGAGGCTTCCCCCCAGCCCCCTCTGCTTCTCGCTGCCTGCCTGCTCGGGGAGAGCTGGGGATTAGCAAGGGCTGTGCTGCATATTGCAGCTATTTGACAAAACGTTTGGGAAGGGCCTATTGTGAAGATTGTGAAGAAGGAAGGGAGGGGGGGAGCGTGGGTGCGAATGCGACACGTCAAAATTCCTGCTGCAGCTCACATTAGACAGCACAGCCCTTGGAGCAGCCAATTTCCACTTTCTCCATGCTTGTACTGTACATATTCATTGCTAATTGTGACAGAAGTAAAACAATTTCTGCATGGCCAGGATATTTCCTTCCCTCTTTGCCTTTAGAGATTATCATTTATCAAAGTCGTCATTTTCACTGATAAATTACAGTGAAACTGGGGAATGCCAAACTATCCAGAACCTGAGGAATAAGGTTTCAAACTCTATGTTGGAAAGGATTATCTGAGAGCCAGGTGGTCTTTTTCATTCAAATGTTTCAATTTTTCATCAACACGCATATTCTACTTACAGAAAATTACTTCACAAATGTGAACTAAATTATCTTTTTGGCCAAAATTAATTTTGAAGCATTTATTTTAAAGATCCACTTCTTTTTGTATATATTTCTCTGAGATATGCACTGAAATAAGTGAATTTAAGACATGTAAAAAGTCACCAAAAACGTTTCTAGAATAAGTCATATTTAAGATGAACAAACAAAAATTTTCTCTGTCTGAGAAGGTCAGCAATAGACTCATGACAACGAAAACAGATTTTTTTTTTTTTAATGAATGGAAAAGTCAACTATTTACAGCACACCTTTCAGGGCAAAGAGCTCAGTGAGGTGGCTGGGACTTTTCAGCAGTGGTACCAATGTGGTTTAGGGCTTTGGTTCAGCTCATTGATTTTATTTTACCCCTGGGGCAATTTCTCTCAGAGAACCCCATGGATCCAGAACTCATCATTATTTCCTTAACCCTTTTCCAAATTCCTGGCTCTGTTCAGCTCAGTTCCATGGCCTGTCTCCTGTATCTTTTATATCTTTCCCAAGTACAGAACCTCTTGGTCATGGCCCATTGGCCATATATCCATGATGAATACATGTAATGAACATATGACCTGCTTAAAACATGACTTGCTCTCACCTAAAATTCATATTTAATTTGCAGGAAAGCATCAGGCATCCTAGGAAGTATGGGAGGTGAGGGGTTGTTAAAAGCACAGGAAGGAGTTCTCCATTTTTTGGATTTTTTTTGTACCAAGTTGCCTGGTATGTTGCTCAGGGCTACCCCTCCCTCCCTCACACTCTCTGCACCTACATGTCCTGGTGGACGCTGCCAAACACCTCATTAAAAAAAAAAAAAAATCCAAAAAATATCCTTGCTACCGCCAATAAAAAAAAGAATTCACTGGGAAAAATCAGAGTCAGAGAAGGGAATAAGGCTGGAACTCTTGGGATTCCCAAAGGAGCTCACAGAATAGTCCTGTAGGGAGTCGAGGCTGCACAGATTTTTGCCATTTACATTAACAGCAAATCTTTCCTTTTTCAGCATAGCCAGCAATGAGTAAACAAGGCAGAGCATGCACACCCAGCAGAGGCAGGGCCAGGAACACCAAGCCAAAGCCTTGTCCCTGGCAATAGTGCACTGACCTGCT